TTTAATTTTAGTCATGTCTCACACTGTTCAACACATAACCTCTTATAACTATAAGAAAATATATTCACCTTGGTCCTTATTGATCAAGCTAATAACTTTGAGAAATGGACTAATGTTGTCAGTTCTGGGGTGATTACTAAGAATGTCTCCCTAATAACACACAAATGTAACACTTGGTGTTGTTCTTTTTTGGGGGACAGGATTTCTATGTGTATCTGTCCTGGAACTCACTCTGTAGACCAGGCTAGCCTCAAACTCATAAAATCAGCATGCCTCTGCCTCCTGAGTGCTGGGATTGAAGGTGTGTGCCACCACCTGGCTCTTGGTATTGTTCTTAACAGAGAAATCCCTAAGATGTGTCCAAGATAATTATAGCCAAGTTATCCTCTTGTTCAGAACACAGAACAAGTCAATTGACCCATGGGACAACTTCAGGCAGAGAATATAGGTCAGGCTGAGAGGAAATTCTTCCAAGAGACCATCTCTGGATGACATAGATATCTTCACAAGCACACATCAGGTGGAAGAAAATGTGATCTTGGAGAAAAACATGAGTTTGGTAAATCATCTCATCTATCTTAAATTCTTCCCTAAGATAATTCTTGAAATATTTCTATGTATCTCCTCTATCAATTCCCATTATGTAGGTACTTGAGCAATGTTTCTTTGTCTTCTGTCATTTCAGCAGATAATTATTGTGTTTTCTCTACCTTTCCTAATCCAACAGCAACTTCTGTAGATAAATATCAGGGCACACACCACCAAAAGGTACACCCTCAGTGCATTAGTGTCTGCATTAGAAGATCATCATTTCTTATCTAATGATCAGTATGAGCATCAACATGCTAACATTGCACAATAATTCTCTGTCTTAACCAAATGTAGTATTGTTTAATCATAGAGTGCACGGTAGACAAGATAATTTCAGCTTAGAAATAATAAATGTAGTAGCAAGTCAAGGGAGATTGGGCATAACTCTTATTCATCTCAAAAAATCAAATTAAAGCAGTCTACCAACAAACAAGACATTAAGAACATCTACAATACCACTCTGCGTCATGAGGACCTACCATATGGTATCTACTAAAGTGCATAATTCTGACTATATCCACAAATGTTTACAAGAGTATAAATATTGACACTATTACAGAGTATGTAACTTTGATAAAAAAATCTACATGGAAAATTATTAGAGAAAAGAATTCTTGGCTTAAATGCTCATAAAATATAATTTGTTGTTTCTTTTATTAATTTTTAATCTTTAACCATCTAAAAGTCAAAATTGGCATTTTCTGTGAGAATTGCCACCAATTTAAAGACAAGAATTACAGATCAAGTAACAGAAGAGTCTATTGAATCTAAGCCCTCTAAAATACTTATAGCACCCCTGAGCAAAAGAAAAGGAGGCATGAAATGGTTATTAGGTTTCCTGAAAATAGTCAGCATACCTAATATGTTCTTCACATCTACATAGTTACTGAAAAGATGTGTGTCAACTTGAAGGAAAAGTAAGCATCAAGTATTTTAAAGGTGATTGTATATATTCTTTCACACATACACACAACACAGACACATACACACATATACACTCATCTTAAACATGGTGTTCATTTGAACAACAAAATTCTTGTCTAAAAGTCTAAAACAGTACAAACAATATTGCTTTAAGATATACATGAAAGTATACAGAAAAGACAACTCCTGTGGATTATTTGACTCCAGATACTGTCTTTTCTTTTACACCTTCACAACATAGTATTAAATTAAGTATTTTATTTTAAAGAAATGTAAACAAATACATTTAGGACAAAGCCATACATAATATCAACTGCTAATGAGAAATCAATCAGACCTGAATTTATTTAAAATCTATGCTTAGTCTAATAATTGTCTTAAACACTGGTGAATGTTAATAGACTAATATGACCATTCTTCCAGTATTTAACTTAATTTTAAAACTGTTATGTTTTATTAGCCATTAGTTGCTTACTAAGAATGTGTATGGTCATTGTGCAGCAAATTTATCTTAATGAAATTTTTTTAATTTTATTTTATAATTAATTTAATTTTACATATTAGCCACGGATTCTCCTGTCCTCCCCCCTCACACCCTCCCCTGCCTTGCCCCCCAGCCCACCCCCTATTCCCACCTCCTCCAAGGCAAGGTCTCCCCTGGGGACTCAGCTCAGCCTGGTAGATTCAGTTGAGGCAGGTCCATCCCCCCCAGGTTCCAAAAAGCCAGCTCATGCACTAAGGACAGATCCCAGTCCCACTGCCTGGGGGGCCTCCCAAACAGTTCAAGATAATCAACTGTCTCACTTATCCAGGGGGCCTGATCCAGTTCCTCAGCTATTGGTTCATAGTTCATGTGTTTCCACTAGTTTGGCTATTTGTCCCTGTGCTTTTTCCAGTCATGGTCTCAAATTCTCTTGCTCATATAATCCCTCCTCTCTCTCATGGATTGGACTCCTGGAGCTCCACCTGGGGCTTGGCTGAGGATCTCTGCATCTGCTTCCATCAGTCACTGGATGAGAGTTCTATCATGACAGGGTGTTCAGCTATCCGATTACCAGAGTAGGTCAGCTCAGGCTTTCTCTCGACCATTGCCGGTAATCTATAGTGGAGGTATCTTTGTGGATTTCTGGGGACCTCTCTAGCACTTTGCTTCTTCCTATTCCCATGGTGTCTTCATTTATCATGGTATCTCTTTTCTTGTTCTCCCACTCTGTCCTTGATCCAGCTGGGACCTCCCACTCCCCTAAGCTCACTTTCCCCTGACCCTTGCCTTCCATTACCCCCACACACACACATCCAGTTTGCTAATGTACATCTCATCCATTTCTGTTGTTGGACAATCCCTGTGTATTTCTTAGGGTCCTCTTTACTAGGTAGCCTCCCTGGAGTTGTGAGTTGCAGTCTGGTTACCCTTTGCTTTACATCTACTTATCCACTTATGAGTGAATACATACCATGTTTGGATTTCTGAGTCTGGGTTACCTCACTCAGGATGATTTTTTCTAGTTCCATTCATTCGCCTGCAAACCCCATATATGCAATGGAGTACTACTCAGCAGAGAAAAACAATGACATCATGAGGTTTGCAAACAATGAAATTTTAAATTTCTATTATCCATGTAAATTACATGGATACAGAACTGGTTTTTGAAAACCTATGCTGGAAATTTTCAGGATGACAAGAAACTAATTTAGAGATAGAATTCAGATTATCAAAACTTTCATAGAACATGGACCTATTTGGTGTAATATCAACATTATTTTCCTTGGAAAATCGAGTAATCTCTAGAAGGTACATATATTTATTTGTAGCGTACAAGACTGTTATCAATTATCATGTTTCTATAGAAATGAATGTGTTACCTGATGTCCTCTTTGTTTTCATCCTAACTCCACCCTGAGTCCAAATAAAAAAAATGGGAATGTAAATATAACTCTGAGGATAATGTGAGAACTTTTGTTCACCTCCTATATTCCCTCACCATAGTGACTTCAAAGAATAAAAGAATAAGACCTAAAAATTGAAAACCACCAAGAGTATTACTGAAGGTAGAAGAAAATGGGCAATCAACTCCCACCACTCAGCTTGAATATTTTCTGTTACAGATGAATATAATCACTCCACCTGTGCTTTGAAGTGAATAACTGCTGTTCACTGAAAGTACATCACATTCATCCAAGGTTGACAATAAAAGACACCCTTTGCTTACATGTTTATGTATTTATTTTCTCCTTTCAAACAATACGAATGATCAATAGGTAAGTGACAAAATGAGAAAGCAGATGATAGATGAAAGATTGTCCATGTCAGGAAATAATAATATTTGAAAAATCTAAGAATTTTCAAGATTAGCTAATAAATTTGAAGGTCAGGTTTTTAGCTGCTAAAACTGAATTAAATCTAACTGTCAGAGTTGAGGCTTGACTATAATTTGCCTTCTTTGGTTATCACTATTACATGTATTTTCTTTTTTTTACTTGAATATATATTACCTTATTCTTACAGGTTTTTCCCTTTGCATTCTTTTTTTTTCTATTCATTTTTTAAAGAAATTTTCTATTCATTTTACATACCAACTACAGATCTCCCTCTCCTCCCTCCTCCTGCCCTCAACCTTCCCCCCCCAACATATCCCCCATTCCCACCTCCTCCAAAGCAAGGCCTCCCATGGGGAGTCAGCAGAGCCTGGTACATTCAGTTGAGGCAGGTCCAAGCCTCTCCTCTCTGCACCAAGGCTGTACAAGGTGTCCACCATAGGCACTGGGCTCCAAAAAGTCCACTCATACAACATAATATTACATGTATTCTCAATGATAGCTGCTAATAATTTCTATGATAAATTTTTGTTGACAAAATATTGTGATTCTTGTTTTTAAATATCAGTCTCAAGCTATGTATTTTTATGTGGTATTCTGTACAGCTTACCTCCAGCAACATTTTTAGTTCAGTCACAGAAATGACTTTATCGGTTATCAGTGGATTCATTATCCATGCTGTAAAAATATATTAAGATCTCATCAGAACATTTGTTCTGAAATTCAGTGGAATTTCTATCAGGTCCAAAGTTTAAACCTCATTTATGAAGTGTTATTATTGCTGGTGATACATTCAGACCTTTTTTTTTATTAGACTAATGGGCAGAAAACACCATCCAGGTCAAACCAACACGTACTTTTTTAGGCTTTCAAATTGCTGTCCTACTTCCTCACTGCTCTCCTGTAGATGAATTTCCTGATAAAGCGTGAGTATAACCGTCACACCCCGTGCTTCTCTTTGTGGGGAGTCAAACTTACTCATTAGCTTACACTTGGGCAGCAATGTTTCTCAAAGTTGGCAAAGACTTGTCTTTAAATTACATTTTTTCTATTTCAAGTGTGGAGGTTAGCTTCCAATATGAAGGTCAGATTCAATAGTTAAGTCATTTTCCACAACCCTGTAATTGATCTTTCTTTCTCTGCAGGTTATTTCTAAAGACCCCCTGAGTAAAATGGATAGATGGAATCAGTCCATGGTACCAGAATTCGTGCTTTTGGGACTTTCCCACTCACATAATCTTCAGCTCTTACTATTTGTGATGTTTTTGATTATTTATGTGCTCGCTCTATCTGGAAATAGTACTGTCATGTTCTTAATTGTCACGGACCGTAATCTCCATTCCCCCATGTACTTCTTTTTGGCCAACCTGTCCTTTGTTGATATGTGGCTTTCCTCAGCCACCACTCCTAAGATGATTGCAGACTTTCTCAGTGAACCAAAGATCATTTCCTTTGCAGGCTGCATGTCCCAGGTCTTCTTCGACCATTGTGTTGGTGCAGTAGAGATGATGCTGTTGGTGGTAATGGCTTATGACCGCTATGTGGCCATCTGCAAACCACTCCACTACTTCACCATTATGAACCTGAAAAGATGCACTGGGTTGGTGGTGACTTCCTGGGCCATTGCCTTTGTGCATGCCATGAGTCAGCTTTTGGCAGTTGTGCAGCTGCCTCTCTGTGGTCCCTTGGAAATTGATAGTTTCTTCTGTGACATACCACTGATAATCAAGTTATCCTGCACAGATTCCCATGATTTGGATATTTACATGAATGCTGACTGTGGGGTTGTGGTTGTAACCTGCTTCATTCTCTTGCTCATTTCCTACACATATATCCTTATCACTGTTCGCCAGAGCTCTAAAGCTGGTGCATCTAAGGCCTTGTCTACATGCACTGCCCACATCACAGTGGTGATGATCTTTTTTGTGCCCTGCATCTTCATCTATGTGTGGCCACTCAATATCACTTGGCTGGACAAATTTCTTGCTGTATTTTATACTCTTATTGCACCTCTCCTGAATCCAGCCATTTATACACTGAGGAATAAAGAAATGAAAAATGCTATGAAGAAATTAAAAAGCCATTTCACAAATCACAAGGGAAATACTTAATGCCAAGAAAATTCACTGTAAATATTTCAAACTGACAATTCACTGAAATTACTACAAACTGATAATTTGGGTATTTAGTTTGTATTCAGAATTAGTTAAGGTAGTCTGATATGTAATAAGCTTAATATAATTTGGAGAGTTAACATTTTAATCATATCGAACATTGTAAATGATTTCTGATTATTTTTTAAAATAGTCCTTCCTCATGACAAAATTATTCAATTGATTCTTATATCTTCAATAATATTAAAAAAAGAACATAAATATATTTGTCACGCTTATAAGTAGCATTTGTTTTGTAAAATTCACTTTAATGTTGCTCTAACAATATTAAATATATATTCTGTTTTTCAACACACCTACAAACCTTTTATTCACTCCTTTGGAAAAAGAAAACATTATTATTTTTAACCTTATAACAAAAGTTATAAACTACCCACAAATAGCAGTGGACTTTTATTTAGTTTAGTTTTTATTACCTTAATGACAATAAAATAGTTTTATAAACAAATCTAGAGCTGTTTTTCCTTACTTATCTGAGTTTCAAGAATTAAAATTTATCCTCTAAGTTATTGTTTATTATTTCAATAAAATCATGAACTATAATCTGAGACAGTGGCCATGAGCATCCTTGCTAATTCTTCATATTTAAATACTTCTGATAATTAATTATATAATTATATATGTCAACAATTATACAAAACAAAAATCATGTCAATTGTTTCATCTAATACCATCATTTATTTGTGAATAAAATTTGAATATGATCTTTGACATTTGAAATATTCCTAAAATTATCATTTGCATAATAATATGCATCCTAATAATGTGCATCGTAATAGGGTACAATATAACTTTTATTTCTCAAGATAAGGGTTAAAATACAGTGACAGGAGCAATAATAGAAATAAAGCAAAAAATAACATTATATATAGCTTTTATTCCCTTAATATAGGAAAAATACAAGTGGTAGAATAAATAAAATATATTTATGATTGTTAGATGTCTGTTCAAGTTTATAATGTAAGATATGTTATTACCACAAACACATTTATTATTATCTTGAATATTTTAATATTTAAAGAAAACTTAGAAATATATATTAAATTATTTTGTTAACAAAGATTGAATTTTTCTATAGTTGAAGGATGCAGAAAATAATTTTCCCAATGACATTTATTTGTTAAATGTCATTGCACAATATGCTAAAATAATAACTTTTACACAAAGAGTAGATTATGCTAAATGAAATGCCAGAACACCTCTCTTAAGTTCAGATTATTTTTAATGATTTCATGTCATGATTCATATTCTATTTTTACAAAATGGTGTGATTTGTGAACAATTGTGCTATGCATTCTGAATTATAGTAATAAGCACATTTGGCATACAGGTAACACTAAGTAACAATAAGATACATATTTGACAGCCTCAATTATACTTATATTATCTATTGTTACTGATAAGTATAAGAACTTAATAATTTATATTTCTTGTACATTTTAGATACTTTTCCCCATCTGGCATGCAGAGAACATCCTCAGAATATTACTGTATCCTGTATTCCTTAATGTGGAGCACACCTTAAATCCAAATAGAAGAGTTGGTTATCCCATGATAGCCTAACCATTCTTATACCAGTGGTTCAACTTGCTTGGCAAATCAGTGTTGTATCATGTAAAGTCTACTGCTGGGTCAGACCAATAATGCCGTTTCTTTCCCAGTAACCTCAATAACTTCTGGCAGGCACTATGATAGCTAGCCAGAAGGAAAGAAGTTTCCAATGACCCTAGAAAACAAACCACCTTTTTACACTTTTATTTATTCTTCTCTTGTACAATACATCCCAACTGCAGCCTCCTATCTGCCACTCCTCCCCATCTCCCTGCGACCTCCCCTCAGATCCCCAGATCCACTGCCCCTTTGTTTCCCTTTGGAAAATAGTGTGTCTCCCAAGGATATCAATCAAATATGGCATAATAAGATGTAATAAAACTAGGAAAAAACTTTCATATCAAAGCTGGATGAGGCAACCCAGTAGGAAAAAAAGAGTCCCATAAGTAGGCAAAAAAGTCAGAGTCACCATCACTCCCACTTTTAGAGGACCTGGGCTCTGTGACTGCCCCTTCAGTGTCTGTGAGCTCCTATGAGTTCTGCTTAGTGGATTCTGTGGTTTCTGGTGTCCTTGATACCTCTGGCTCCTAAAATCATTCCCCACTTCCTCACCATCTTCTACAGGGTTTCCCAAGCTATGTCCAATGTTTGGCTGTGGGTCTCTGCATCTGCTACCATCAGCTCCTGAAGAAAGCCTTTGTGATAACAACTGGGCAAGGCACCAATCTATAAATATAGCATAATATCATTAGGTATCGTTTGATTGACTTTTTTTCTTTTTCTTTTTTTGTTTTGTTTGTTTGTTTCTTGTCAGTCATGTTTGGTTCTACCCCAAGTCTCTGGGCCATCCAGCTTACAGTTCCTGGCTGTCCACCATCCAAGCAGGATCTTGGTTTGGGCCTCAAGTTAGACCAGCCATTGGCTGGCCACTCCCACAAGCTCTGAGCCACCATTGCCCCACCACACATTACAAGAACAGGTTGTGGTTCAAAGGTTTTGTGACTGGGTTGATGTCCCAGTCCTACCACTGGGAGCCTAGCCTGGTTATAGAAGATGGCCAATTCAGGATTCCATTACCAAGAGTCCTTGCTGGAGTCACCCTCATAAGTTCCCGGAAGTTTCCACTCCACTAGGTTTCCACATAACTCCCTAATTGCCCAACTGTTCCAGTCATCTCTCTCCATACTCTTTCTCCCTGTCAATCTCTCCTCCACCTGATCCCTCCTGTTCCCATCCCCACTCATTCCCAGTCCACCCGCAAAACCTTCCCAGGGAGATCCATGCTCCCCACCCCCTCTAAGAGCATTCCTTATTCCTTAGCCTTTCTGCGTCTGTGGAATGAATTGTGATTATAATTTATTTAACAGCTAATATCCACTTATAAATGAGTACATATCATGTTTCTTGCTGGATCTGCGTTGCCTTGCTCAGGATGATTTTTTTTTCTAGTTCCATCTATTTTCCTGCAAATTTCATAATATCATTTTAATACTCCATTGTGTAAATGTTCCACATTTTCTTTATTCATTCTTCAGTTGAAGGACATCTAGGTTGTTTCCAGTTTCTGAATATTATGAATAAAAGCCACTGTGAAAATAATTTATCAAGAATCTTTGTGGTAGGATGAAGCAACTTTTATGTATATGACCAAGAGTGGTAAGGTGGGTCTTGAAATAGATCAATTCCCAGCTTTCTGAGGTATCACCACATTGATTTCCAAAGTAGCTATAGAGTTTGCATTCCCACCCTCAATGGAGGACAGTTCTTTTGCTCCACAGCATAGCCAGCATGAACTGTTATGATACTGATCTTTGCCATTCAGACAAGGATAAGATAGAATCACAAAGTAGTTTTGATTCACATTTTCCTGATGGCTAAGGTTGATGAACATTTCTTTAAGTGTTTCTCAACCATTTGAGATTCCTCTATTGAGAATTCTCTGTTTAGATCTGGATCCCATTGGATTATTTGGTTTGTTGATGTCTAGTGTATTGAATTCTTTATGTATTTTTGGATATCAGGTCTCTATTGAATGTGAAGTAGAAAGAACTATTTTTGCTGCAAGAAAATAAAAAGAAACAAAAATACATATTTGTAAACCTTGTGACTGAAATTTTGAACACACATGAAAGAAATCCACTCCCCAAAGAATTGGGGAGTTAGCAATGGTTGCTTTTCCCTAGAGAACCAAACAAAGAGAACGTTCAGTAATGGAATGTTGGACTTACAGTATTTTTCCTTCTTGGGGCACATAGAGATTTTCCCAGAAAGCATCCCATCATATATTTGGCTATATAATAGGAGAAGGTTCTGACTAGACCAAAACAACATTTTCTCCTATCAGAGGGATCATATAGAAACAAAGAAAAGCTACTAAGAAAGCCCTTGGTTTTTATGGCTCACCATCTAGACATTTTTAAACTTTAAAATGCCTAATAGCATGCCATACTTAAAAACATGATATACAGCAGTGGTTCCCTGAGAGAAGGTTATGCTGATAAATCACATATCATAGTGATAACCTAATGCCACATGTCAAGCCGGTAGAAAATCAAAAACAGGAAAAACACAACATTACTAGAATAAAAGAATTCATAAATATTTGAGTTAAAATTAATGAAAAGAATGATACAAAGCATCAACAAAATGAAGGTTGCTTAATAGAAGGATTAAAATTTCATTTAAAAAACTTAGCTAAAAATATATAATAGATAAAATAATAAAATTATAAAAATAAAGGTGATATTACAACACAAACACTGAAATCCAGAGGATCACTAGGAGATGTTTTGAAAACATAACTCTAAAAGTTAGAACACTTTAAGTAAATAAAACTATGCACTATGGCCTACTAAATTTGAATCAAGAAGGTATTTAAAAATACCCTTATCAATCATGAGACATAAATTTGAGGCACTAATAAAATTTAACTCAACAAGGACAAACCAGAAGCAAATAGATGCAGCTCTAAAGTCTTCCAGGCTTTTCAAAACAATTAACATCAACTTTCTGAAAAATAATCATGTGAAAAACAGAAAGAAAACTTTGAATCTTGTTCTACAAACCAAAATTTAACCTGACTCTAAATTCAGATAAGGTTTAAACAATAGTAGCAGCAAAAGTTGTATGCCAATTTCTGGATGAACATGTACACAAAATCCTTAATATAATATTTGCAAATAGAATTTAATAATGCCTTGAAAAGAACATGTGATATAATCAAGTTTAATTCATTCCAGAGTTGTAAGTGTGGCTTGCAATACAAAATGTAATTTGTATTACATAAATATAATAAATGATAAACCATTACATCATCATCTCAATATATGAAGATTAATCCATTGGCAAAAATCATCAGCACTTCAAGATAAAAGCTTTCTGGAAATCATGAATAAAAAGGACATACTTCCACATAATACAAGAAATACAATGGCATTTTCTACTTCTGTGGATACTTCACAGGTGATGTACAAATATACATGCATGCAAAGTACAATATACATAAAATAGAACACATTAGAAATCTTGAAAAAAGTAGTTAAATTAAGTTTACAGATAATTTGATCCAATACTTTTTTTATACTTTTTTTACTTTATAATTTAATTTAACCTTATATATC